AAGAAGGGAAAAAATTAACTTGCGCCATGAATAGTTTGAAATTATTAATGGTGCCTCTTGTAGCATTTCCTTTGCATCTCACAATATTGGGCACATTCAGTTGCACATGTATTATGTATAAGAATATAAAAATTATAGTACTTTTGGGTAGCATTGAACGCTACGGCCATGTTAGACGCCACAAAAAAATTAATCTCCAGAAATAGTTCTAATAATAAAAATATAGGTTAATATCGATAACACCATGGAGGATCTAACAAGGTGCTAACAGGATGAAGACAGCAAGATTGACCTTGCAACCAAGTCCTAAGGGGCTCTACAAACTCTGTAAACTCCATCTCATCAAGTACCTTGAGCCCTTGAGGACATCATCAACGCCGATGGTTTGCCTCTTTGATTCCTTGCACATAATTGGTTGATTATACTGACACTGGAAGTTCGTTCTCCAACTGCAAAAATCAGGAGCCTCCACATTACAGAATGCAAGACATACAGCAAAACTTCATGTGTCTGCCTCAGTTCCATCATTTGGAACACTATCTTTCCATGAACCATAATTTTAGAAGAACTTCCCAGCAGGGCAAGGCACTTTGCCCACACAGTAGATAACTTCCCAATCCACAATTCGCCATCAATCAAATCGCTTCTCAATCTAACGGAAGATACTAATTAATTTGCACATAGATGTGTCGATCCATTCTAGTGAAGCACATAAGTCAACCAAATTAATTGCAACATATTTTAGCTAGGAACGGATTAATTACGTCCAACAATACTCACATGGATTGGTATGACAGGGGTTGCAGTTTGAAGTCCTCCAACCTTTGCTCAATGTAGTCGATGGCAAGTTGTCATGAAGTGCCTGAATGGCCTCATGCAGCATGAACCGTGCATCCCACATTCCCACCACGCCGTCCCCTCGCATATCTTGGCCATTGCACGCGTGGCGAGCGGTGGCTCATTGCCCCTGCCCTCCTACACCCATCTGTGTCCTCTCCAGCAAAGACAATGTGGATTGCAGAGGCATGCATGTATCTCGCCTTGTGCCCACTATCCCCCTACAATAAAACGTGGTTATACACACCTAAATCAGAAGTTTAGAACTGACAGAATTATGAGCTATTAGATTCAATGTGAACATGGATCAAACATACACTGGAGCTTAAAATAAAGAAGACTATAATATCCATCGAGTGAGTATGTTTGATTCAGAAACTAAAATCCTTCACATTAAGCATTTGGAGCAACCATAAAAAAATAAACGGACCATGTAAAATAACAAAGGGTAAGTATAAGACATTTGGGGGTACACAAATACCTAATCAAGTATAATAAGATGCGGGGTAACCTGGATCTGCCGAAGAGCGGAGCACTGAATTCAGGTCTCAATCTCGTAGAAGGACTGCATGATGGGCGCCATTCCAGGGAAACAAAACTGCAAATCACATAGCAGGAAGGAGGATTAAATTATCCCACATCAAGTACATAGCAGGCAGGAGGATTAAATTATCCCACATCAAGGTGACATGTCTCCCTACGGTTCCTTCCCAAGTCGACTAGCGGCAGCGACGTTCTTCGGCGGCGGTGCGGCTCCAAGGTGGGGGTGAGGAGAAGCGTGACTTGCGGGGTCGGCAGCAGTCGGCATGGCGGCCGGCGGGTCGGAGATCTGCAGGGCTCCCCTTCCCTTCCCATCTCTCCATCGATATGCTGCTCACTGAAATAACTCCAAAATTCAGATAATCTAGACCATGTACATAGAATCCCCAAGTTTAGAGAAACTACCCCAAAACCGCACACAAAAAAATCACCCAGCCTCACCTGCGTGGAGACCGAGTCAGCAACAGCATCGAACGTGGAGTCCTGCCCCTGGACCGCGACCGAGATGGCCGCCGTTGAAAGGTCCTTGTTTGGTTTTGGTAATTGAGTGACAACCTAGGTGGACTAATTGTGTTTATGTGAGATACACATGTGATTAATCCACAGGTACATGTGTGTGAGCAACATATGCCATGAAGGTGACAATGGCTTGAGATGTTGCAAAGCTCACACATGTGATGATGAAGGAGCTTATTACAAATGAGACATGACATTGAGTCATGTGATCAAGGTGGAGAAGATCAAGACAAGACTTGGCTTGATGGACCGGTTGCAAGCGTGAAGGGCAAGTCGGAGGCTTTGGAGTGATGGACCGCGTGGCGGTGAAGCTTGAGCAAGACTTGGCGCCGATGGACGATGGCAACGGTGAAGAGCAAGTGAAGTCAAGATCGATGAACCAATATGATCATATGATGATATGAAGTGGATCATATCATTGTTGATCGTGTTGGTGCATGTGTTGCATCGATGTTGGAGGAGATGGAATAGAATGAGCAAGACAAAGGTATAACCTAGGGCATTTCATTTCACCGGTCATAGGTGTGTAGAGAAGTTATGACCGGATTTAGGATAGATGGCCGTACTATCAAGAGGGACAAACTTGTTTGCATATCGGTCATCTAGTGCCACTCGAGTGATCTAACTTTGCATCGTTGCTAGGATCGAGTGGCGTGGCAAGTTGAGTGGCTAATCCTTTGGAAAATGATTGTGAAAATGCTAACACACATACACATGGTGGTGTACACTTGGTGGTGTTGGCACATTTACAAAGAAGGTGGTGTTTGCAGGGTTGAGATGGGTTTGGGGATTCGGCCCTTTCGGGAAAATGGAATGCCTATTTTCTATTGCGCCGGATGCAAATTCTTGTGGTTGGCACATTGGAGCAAGGGTGAAGAAGTTAGAAGTGAAAACGAGTTGATCGCGAAGATCGCTGGCGTCGGTCTACTGACCGGACGCTGGGTCTGAAAGCACCGGACCACGCAACGTGTGTGTCCGTCAAACCGACGGTCTCAAGCAGCGATCGAGGGTATTGCACCGGACGCTGATCTGTGTCCGGTCAAGGTGGACCGGACGCGTCTGGTCGAAGAAATACGCCTCGGGGAGCTTACTGGAAACGACCGGACGTTGGACTTCAACGTCCGGTCAGTTTTACCGGAGCGTCCGGTCAACTACGTAGCCGTTGAAATTGGGCGATCAGCGTTTGAAGGAGGGGACACGTGGCGTGCATCGCACGACCGGACGCTGAGGTCCAGCGTCCGGTCGATCGGACCGGAGCGTCCGGTCGTCCCGACTTTTGCCCAGTGAAGGGGTAACGGCTAGTTTAGCCTTTGGGGCTATAAATAAAGTGGCCCTCACAAGCATAGTTAGCTTTGTGCTTTTTGCTTACTAGCATGTGTAGGAGCTCTCTTGTTGCTTAAAATACTAGTGGCATAGGTTTGTGTAACCTTGCTCTTAGAATTGTTTAGGAGAGCTCTAGCTAGCCCGGCACCTTTGTTACATAATTGGTATCTTAGCAAGGTGCTAGTGAACATATATAGAGGGGTGTAGTCTTGGCTAGACCGATTGTTTTAATTCCGCATTTATATCGGTTAGCCGACGCGATTAATTTTAGAAAAAAGACTATTCACCCCCCCTCTAGTCCGCCATCTTGATCCTTTCAGCCGTCTTGCGCACGCAGGCCTCCGCCCCCGTACCTTGACGCCGGATTTAGGCCCGGGTGCGGCGTCGTGAGCGGGCTGTGGCCGCAACCGTGTTTTTAGGAGTCAGCGTCATCATAGGCGGAGGTCGCGGTCGTCGGGGTGGTGCGGGTGGCGGTGGCGGCGGCGGATCTAGGGCTGGAGAGGGAGTGGTGGAGCACGGGTGCCGGGGTGGGCGGAGCGCGGCCTCGCTGCCCCGGTGAAGCGAGGACAGCGCCCAACACAGGCGATCGAGGCGGTGGGCGCTTCGGTGGGCGCGACACTGCCTCGGAGAAGCGCCGACGGAGGAAGGAGGGCCGCCAGGGACCGCCTCGGGAGAGAGGAGGAGGGTGTGCGACGGGCAGCGGGTGGGGATCGCATAGCACGGTAGCGCAAGCAAGAGGGGCGGATGGAGGATGTCAATTGCATGATTATTTCCGCGACCCCCTTTCCTTTTGGCTGCGATTGGGGGGGGGGACGCGCGGTATCGCACGGAGTGGAGCGAAGACGACAAAAAAAAGTCGTACGAAAAAATAGTCTTACTTCTGTCCTTTTTAGTTGTAGGATCTCTGGGTTCATGACCCAAAAATGTAACTAATATTATCGGCTTTTTGTTGAAAACTGTGGTAACAAAACTCAGGTGAGGATAGTTCTGGTCCCAATGTGACCTTTTAAAAAAAATCGAGAATGACATTCTGCGTTCCAAATAATGAAGGAGGCCTGAATTTGAATTGTTGGTTGGTATTGACACGTTCGAAAAGGAACCGTGACCTGAACTTAACTGGAGTCTGGAGACCACTTTGCAAAAGAAAAAAAAAAGATAAAAGTTGATGAAAACTCATCTCATCCGACGAGGCCATAAAGAAGATGGAAGAGAAATGGTCCGGAGGGCCCCTGGCTAGGGTAGGCGGTACGTACGATCAGGTACCCACCATGAGATTCAAGATCCGGCCGGTACTACAGCCAGCCACTACTAGATTCACCACGCCAATCAATACCATCTTGACCCTTCGTGCATTGCAGCTAGTACACGTACGGTCGGTGAAAAACATGGAGACTGCAGACAGGTGGTGCTTGGCCCACGACGTGCATGCCCCGGCAAGCCCACGGGCGCCCGGCCCCACCATGCCCTGCCCCCGCTCCCTCGTCGCCGTACGTCTCCGCCCCACCACGCACCAGGCACCACCAGTTCACCACCAACCATGGGCGCCGATCCAGGCGCCACCTAGCTGTAATTCTCTCTTCTCCTCCCATCCGTCGTCGATCCACCACCCATCACCTCCTCCTCTCCTGCCCGCCACTATATATACCACCCGCCCTCTCCCTCGCCGTCGCCCACCACCACATCGATCCCGCTCCACCATCACCAGCTCCGGCCTCCAGCTCACTTTCGAGTTCGTCCAAGTCCCGGCCGCCAGTGGTCGTCGTCGTGCTTAATACAATACACACATGGCGATCAAGAAGGGCGGCGCGGCGGCGTCGGGGCTGAAGCAGATCCTGAGGCGGTGCTCGAGCCTGGGGCGGCGCCAGCAGCAGCAGCAGCACAGCGGAGAGGAGGACTACAACGAGGACGAAGAGGCGACCGGGCTGCCGTCCGACGTGCCGCGGGGCCACTTCGCGGTGTACGTGGGCGAGCGGCGGTGCCGGTTCGTGGTGCCCATCGCGCTGCTGGACCGCCCCGAGTTCCGGTCCCTGCTGCGGCGCGCCGAGGAGGAGTTCGGGTTCGCGGGCGCCGGCGCCGGCGGCATCCTCGTCCTCCCCTGCGAGGAGGTCGCCTTCCGCTCCCTCACCTCCGCGCTCGCCTGCGCCGGCGGCGCCCGGTGAACGCGCCGCCCGTCCTGCCGCGTGCTTGCATTTGCATGCATGCATGTCCCGCCGCCGCCTATTCGTTCGATTCATTGGTTTGGCCCAGCTAGCCTAGCAGGCTACCAGCTACACCTACTAGTCCTAGCTAGCTACTAGCTTGGTGAGAGACCTCTACAATGAAGGTTACGTTAATGGCGTGTGTGTAAATATAGATTATTAGAGAAGAAGAAGAAGTGGTGGTGCATGCGCGGAGGATTGTATTAGCGCGCGCCCGGCCGGCCCGGCATTGGAGACAGCTAGCCGATCTAAGAAGAAGAAGGAGATCGATGGAGAGAGAGGACGGATCATCGGAGTCGGAGAAGACGGATGGATGGAGCTTGTATGTAGTCCAGAGCTTCACTGGCTATTGTTTGCTGTTGGCCGCTGTTCTGCTGCACTGCATGTACGTTGTTTGTGATGCGTTCTACATACTTCCTGGCCGGCCTCCTCTGCAAGTAGATATGGTTAGGCCAGTGCAACAAGTGAACCATCATTAATTTTTTTTTCTGTACATGCAAAGATACTGGCAGGGCCGGCAAGCTGTAGGTAGCCAGAGCTAGCTAGCTGATATGGGCGACCGTACGTACCGACATCAAGCATGCATTCAGATGTGCATACATATAAACATGTGTGTTCCTTCCTTCTCTTTATCCTGATATGATGATTCATCGATCAATAAATCCTTTTTTTTCTCTCAGTGTTTTTCTCAGCCCGACTTCGTCATGAAGAGTATTTTTCTCTCACAACAAATCAACATCAGCCGGCTTATCAGTCAAAAAAACCATCCGCCGAACGGCTCGAAATATGCATGCATGGTTCATGATAATGACGATGTGTTCCTGTATGCTTTGGTTGCTCTTGTTTATCTTTGCTCCTACTGTTGGTACTACTCGTACTCATCAGTACTACAGTACGTGCATGTGTGTGTGATCGATCGATCGATTGTGAAATAAATGAGGAGATCAGTGGCGTTATGCTTTCAGCAGTCGGTGTACGAATATCGGAGGAACGTGGGGGGTATTAATTCCAAGAAAGGATATATCTGCAGATCGTCACTCTCCGGGCGCGCTGTTTGCCTGGCCGTCTCGGCCATTGTCGTGTGCTCCTACTGTCCACGACCACGAGCTCGCGTACGTCGTTGCATTGCATGCATGGAGCTGGAGCTGGTTACGTCGACGATTCATCGATCACCGGCCACACCGCTAGCTAGCTACTACCAGCACGCACGTACGTCGCGTCGACCCTGTTTATATACGATGACATTGTTTGCCTTTTGGTTTCCATTTTTGGATAACATTGTTTTGCTTTTGACATAACGTGTATTGTGTTGTACTCCGATTGATCCAGTTGTTGGTTAACATAACGTTGCACACTAACTGGATATACATACTGACATACACCTATATAGAGCCGGGCGTGTTCGGCTGATGGGTTGCACAGTGTATTTTAGATTATTTTGGATGATTTAATAATGTTATGTAAAAAAATAAGCTGGGAAGTAGTAAGCCGAACAGCCCGAAACATTACAAGGCTTGTAGCAGGAGCAGCAGTACGTATCATCGCAGAGACGGCAGAGTCGGCACTGCTATGCGCAGAACAGAGCAACAGCACCTGGGATTGATTATGCAGATGATAAAGAGACGGAAGTTGAAAACTCTGTTACGAATAGATAGACACGGGAATTAAACAAACTCGGGATTTCCGGAGACAGAACAACCGCAGCGCGTTTAAGGATGATCCAGAAATGGGTACCCCAGGGTCACATGGATCCACTGCATGTCCATGTGGATGTGGTGGAGTCGCTTTTTCACCAGCGAGAACGAACGAACGAACGACCTCTTCAGGGTCGTCGTCGTACGTCGCCGGCAGATGCAGATTGGGACCCGATCACCCGCCCCAGCGCGCACGGCCACGAGTAGCGTTTGTTTCGTACTCGGCCCCGGCTCGCGCGCGCGGCCACCAGCACGCAGCCTACGGATCCACATCCACCAACCGATCGATTCCGCCACCCCACCCGTGCCGTGCATGGTCGCTCGTGCGCGCGGCCCCCGGCGCCGGGGGCGGGGCGCCCGAGGCGATCAGATCCGACCAGCTGCAGCTGCAGCTGCCTCGGCATTCATCCGGCCGAGGCACAGCGGACGACCGGGGCACCCGACACGGACCAGATGTATCCACACGCACCGGTCACGGGCGTTGCCGTTGGCTCGCTAGCTCCGCATGCAACTTGCCAACTTGGCGTCCCGGCGGCGCGGCGGCCGGACTACACTGCATGCGCGGGCATCATATCGCGCGATGTCGCTCTCAGTCCCGAATTTTTTATTTTTCAGCCTTTTTTTCAAAAATATTCACAAATAAATCCCTGGCGGTTTGATTTTCGTTTATGGACCCTGATCTCGGTGGCATGGTTTTTGGCGCCGAGGAAACACGTCTCGGCGTTATGGACAATGGCGCCGAGGTCTTTGCGAGGCGTCGGACGTGGCGGTGACCTGGTGTCGACTTGGACAAGGCATCAGCGACCATAAATCTTGACACCGAGCTATTATCCTATAGATCTTGGCGTTTGAAATAAAACAAGTATAATTGTTTTGAAAAAACATGCAACAACACCGTTGTAGTTCAGCTGGTTAGGACGCGCACGACTTAGCTTTCAAAGGCCTGGAGTTCGACACTAGGACTAAATCTTTTTTTGCTATATTTTTATAAGCAACAGAACACAACACCGTTGCGGGCTTCTGCGGCGGCCCTTTTTCAGCCGCGTACGCATGCGGCGGCCGCAATCCCATTTGTCGCTGCTGCCTTTATGGAAACGAGAATAGTGACTGGTTGCGTATATGTGTGTTCATTTTCTTATTTACTTCACAATTTTTTTAGTGATCCATATGTTAGCTAAAAAATATACGTAAATTACATAAAATACTATGTATTGTTAGGAATATGTGATTAATTTTTTTTAAAGCAGAATATTTGACATATGGATATGTGCAGCAGATCAATTAAAAGGTTTGACATATTCCTAACGAAAATTTACGTATGGCCAGACTTAATATGGCCACATATGGCCTTATTTACTTCACGGTTAAGTCTGGCCATATGTTTTAAAAACCATATTAAGCTCTAGATTTCATCACAAAATACTATTTATCGTTAGGAATATTTGACATGGATTTTTTTGCAGTAGGCTCGTCGGCTCGTGATGAACTGGGAACAGTCCAGCAGGAGGAGGAGCCTCAGAGCTGTAGCTAAAAAGAATTCCAGCGTGTTCCCGATGCAGGTGAGGTACAACCGCAGCATATTGGCCTGTAAGAAGAGATGCTCATTAGCATTTTGCAAGAGACGCTCATTAGCATTTTGTACTGTACTGTATGAGGCAATCACCACGGGACAGATTGATGGTGGCAGGAGCAATTTGTTTTTGACTAGACATTCTATTCAGTCACTGTATTTTCAGTCTTTTAACTAGGCCACTAAAATAAGCGGATGCTGCTTTTCCAGTAGAAAACAAATCATGGATCAGTGGTGTTGTTGCTTTCAGTTGCCATACGCTGTTTTCAGCAATAGTGCAACTGATTTGCAGTATCTCATACCAGTTGATTGTGACTACAGCTTGATCCGATCTGCTTTGCATCTCAGCTCCGTACTACCGATAGCAATTGGCGACGGACTTGAAAAGACATTGCTCGATAAAAGACACCCGCCCATCTACCTCAAATGAGAAAAACTTTACACGAGCGGACACAGAAAGGAGGGGGGGGAAGGGCTGGGCATACCTGGTGGGTGCTCATCGCCGGCGAAGGGCCCAACGGCGCCGGGGCGTGGGGGGACGAGCCGCCCGTGGAGGTTGCTAAAAAAATCAATCACTTTCCTAACGATACATAGTATTTTGTGTAATTTACGTATATTTTTTAGCTTAACATATGGATCACTAAAAAATTTTGTGAAGTAAATAAGAAAATGAACACACACGTCCACAACCAGTCACTATTCTCGTTTCCAAGCAAAGCAGCAGCGACAAACGGGATTGCGGCCGCCGCGACAAACGCCGCATGCGTACGCGGCTGAAAACGGGCCGCCGCAGAAGCCCGCAATGGTGCTGGAAACCAGGCCTTTGACCTAAGTCGCGCGCGTCCTAATCAGCTGAACCGCAATGGTATTGTTGCATGTTTCTCGGAACAATTATACTTGTTTTATTTTAAACGCCAAGATTTATAGGGTAACAGCTCGGCGCCAAAATCTACGGTGCCGAGCTCGGCGCTAAGATCTATGGCGCCGAGGCCTTGTCCACGTCGATGCCAGGTCACCACCATGTCCGACGTCGCAAAGACCTCGACGACATTGTCCATGGCACCGAGACATGTTTCCTCGATGCCAAAAGCCATAGCGCCGAGGTCAGAGTTCATAAACGAAAATCAAACCACCGTAGGTCTATTTGTGAATATTTTTCAAAAAAAAGGACTGAAAATAAAAAATTCGGCAGTCAGTCTCTCAGAAACGTCACGGAGCATACCACACTCTGGCAGACTGGCACTGGATGAACATGGCTAGCTGCATCATGGTAAAGAATAATCGCCCACAGGCCACAGGTTTACTGCTACTTGATGCGATGAGGTAGCCGGATGGACCGGAGCTCCGACACGTCTGGTGGGAGAGCGAGAGTCGCCTGCCAGTGCCATTGCCCCGGCGGGCCTCATGCATGCAGTGTGACGCACGCCAATCTGGACGACGAAGATGTGTCCTCTCCTCTGTATGCGCGCAATGCGAGATCTTCTAGCCAGCCAGAGCCAGTACGCGCTTACTTTCCTATATAAAGGAAGTAAATGTCACGGTACCGGCCGTACCTGCTGACGAGGCTCTCAACATATCCATACGTACGTACGTACGTACTCGTGAACGCTACAGCCGTACGCTCGGACGTACGTAGCAGTACGTGCCGTTGAGGTACGTGCAGTAGGGTTTGTTCAGCTTAGGCTCAGCTGCTGCATTATCCGCTGGGTTTGTTGCCATAAATCATAATCTGCTGGTATGGCGTTACTTCGATCTGAACCAGCCGCCGGCCGGATTGAATCATCATCATAAGATAGAGATAGATCCATCATCCATCCGATCAAAAACCGTCCATTGCATCGTTGCATTGGAGCAGCAGCAGAGGACGGCCGTCCTCGTCCGTCCGTTCCTGCAGCCTGCCTGCAGGTGAATTGAATTCCGGGCAGGCCAGGTAACATGGCATGGCGCCAGGGGGCCTGGGGGGCCGGGCAGCCCATGTGCGGGCGCTCGTGGCCGCGGGACGCCCGAGTGCGTGCGGGGGCCGGAAGGACCGAAGGAGCCGGACCACCCCAGGAACAGGGGGCGGCAGCAGGCGGGTGGCAATAACTGACGCGGCCGGCGGCCCGGGCATCTCATCAGCTGCCTCGCGCGGCCACGGGCCACCGGCCCGGCCAGGCCAGCTCAGTTTGCGCGCAAGGCAAGGGTGGGGTGGCAGACCGCGCGCGCTGTCGTACGACCCGCCCTGCACGGATGTACGTGCGCCCGTCGCCTGCCTGGCCTGCGATGCGAGCCTCTGCAGTGCTGCTTCTGCTTGTGCTTGTGCTTGTGCTTGGGATGGACCCCCATCCATGTGTCATGTGTGCCCTCATCTGCTGCTGCTACAGCCGGCGGCGTTGCCTTCTCTTCTGGTAGCTCAGATTTGTTTCGTTTTCTCGGATTAAAACGCATCCCAGTTCCACAGCTCGGATCATTCATGGAGATGTAGACCTCGTAGCTCGGGTAGGAAAGAATTTGATCACGGGCAGCAACACCAACATGGGGATTGGGGACTGGGGAGGGGGCAGGCGATGATAAGTCGTTTGATGGTGATTGGAGGGTGGTGTCATGTACTAATGCAATCCACCTCTTGGATTGGATGCGTGACGGCGACCTTGCGTGACAATGATTCTGTCACCCAGTATTTCCCGCGCGCGCCGAAACCAGAAACCAGAGACAGGATACAAACTAAGCGTGCCTTTTGCAACATTTCACACAGAAATTTCGACGGCGACAAAAGTTGGTATTACTTGCTCATTGGATGGATCCACAAAATTGCTTCAACAGGCGTCGAAATCTGCTGCATCGACTGTCGATTCTACGTGCAAAGCATCCTCTACAGCAATTTCTTTTACCAAAAAAATAAAAAACACGATCGAACAGCGCAATTTCACCAGGTTGGACTTGGACACCAGGTCTCCAGCCACGATCTCCATCACAAGAAGAATCTCCTCCTGCTCGTATCCATATCCGGCTGTGATCGATTTGCGTAAAATCAAGCGCACATGTCAGAAGAAACATCACATGGAGTTGTAGGGGTGGATGTGACATGGTAAATAAATCAACGGCGAACAGTAGTACCTTGTGAACCCACTCGTACTCCCCACTTTTCGTGTCGAAGGTCCCATGTTGCAAGGTGAGCAGCTTTAGAACGAAGCGAGGCCCACATTCCTGCGCCATCACAAAACAGTTTGGGGGCTTTACTGCTAGAGATCATGGGGGTGGCAATAATGCAGAGAGAGAGCCGCGGATCTAAAGTGAAACCCCTTTAGGCTTTAGCTGCTGCTGAGGATTAGAGATCGCGTTCGCTAACATCTAACTGGCAGGATAGTGATATCGTAAAAACAGATACATCATACTAACAAATAGTGGCTATTAATAGGCCCTGGAGAAGGACTGGCTAGCCTGGAAACATGCTCAACCCCATGTTCATGTATTCAGGATGATGCGTCGTGGATATTGCTGGGGCAACATGTTTTTCTAAAAAAAAACGAAGCACAAATTGATCGTGCGCAATCAACAATTGAGAACCAGTTGACAATTTAAGGCCGCTTGATTTCTGAGTCATAAATGAAAATGCTTACAGTAAAACTGTTGGTGGAGTAGAAGTTGCTATACCTGAAGGCGACAAATCACTTGCTTCTCAGATTCGCTTTTGCTTTCAGATGCCTTGGCCTTCTTGTCCTTCGAAGCAACCTTCTTTTCTTTTGTCTCAAAGATGTACCTAGTGTGAACAGTCCATGGCAAAGGTTAAAATGCTAAATGTATAATTAGAAGGCACTAACAACAAAAGTCATTCCGCAAAAATCAGCTTTGCCTATAAGCATAGCAATAGCAAATTTGTGTTTACTAAAAATTAACCATTTTCATAAAGAATTATTCATAAAAGGTAGACAACAGATAACTAGACATACACCTAGGCACCCAGCCCACAACAGTTGCAAAACATAACTCTCCACACAAAGCCCCTATTCCTAATTGCATTTTGATATGCGCACCTGTGATGACGGAAAAATATGTAGTCTCGCTGATTATGGAAGGTCACAACACGGCGCCCACGGAAATTGGGGTCTTGAGGGAAGAGAGATTGTATCATCCTGAAGAATGAAAGAGGAAAGAAAGACATGTAAGGAAAAAAAAAGAGAATCCAAAATAGCAAACTACTGGAAAGAGGCAGCAGACCAGCCTTTCATAAATAAATTAAAAAAAAGAGGTATAAGTTTCAGATCACCTTCCAACACGATGACCAAGGCGTGTAGTGAAATTGTTCAATACTAGCTCTGGCTTATGACTTGTAGGGTTGCCATGGTTCTGTAATATAAAGAGCAGACAAAAATGTAAACCAACATAACAAAAAATGCTCCATACTGTACAATGTCCAGGTACACTCCATGCACAAAAAAGGGTTCTGCTTCACTAACTTAACATATAGAAAAGATAAATTGGATAACCAAATGCCGTTTAAGAGCATAATAAACACACTGGTCACACTAAAAATAACAAACAGATCTTGGCATACAATGTGCTACTAGCTAGAAAAATCCAGAGGCAGCATGTCCTCCAGGTAAGATAACTTTCATCTCTTTACATCAATCTAGAAGGCATTAAACAGTTACTAACCAACTTCATCCATGCAATAATTCAATACAACACTGTAAAGCGTGGAAAATTAAAACAAGGACATGTCATGTCAGAAAGAGACATGGACCAACCTATAGCCATATGCATGTTTGGTTTTTGGGCACAAAACTCATATGGCTAAGGCAAACTAGGGACAACCTAGAGACAAGTAGGACAGTGTAACTGATAGCAGCTTGATTTTTGTTCATTTTCCTTGCACCTTTTTGTCTCAAAAGTTGATGGTGAAATTATGTCAGAGGTGAGGTTATGCCTCAATACTTTACCATTTGAGGTGCTATCTGAACTACCTGAATAAATAATTAAACATCGTTCATCTTTGTGGCATCTGGCATGCATCATGCATGATCTCTTTTGCTAATATGCCTATATGTATCAAACATAGCATTGTGGAGATCCACATTGCCTTCCTTACATAACATAAAACTTGGAGTTCAAACATGAAGAGGTTTAGCTAGGGCTTATTGGGAACAATTCTCTTTTCCCATAGCAGTACCATGTCCTTTGTAGCAAACAACTGAAAAATTACAAGACTATCCAAAATAGTGACAAACAAGGGAGGACATCTAGGTACTTCTGTAGGGTGGAGACACAATACCATGTAGAGGCATCTGAAACAAGAGCATTCTACTGCATACAAGTTTATTGTGGTATCTAACAAGTGCGAAACATAGCACCAAACAACAAATATAGTACGTAGTACCTTTATGTCCTTCCGAAGAACAAGTTTCGATAGTTTGAAATGTGCAGTAGGGCCATCAGGTAACCCAATCATAAGCAGAGCATCTGGCACATAAAAAACCAACAAGATGTCACAAGCAAGTTGAAGTTCAAGAACTTTTAGTACCAATATGATGAATCCATACCAGGTTCCCTTCGATTTGTGTGGACAACAATAAGTGAGGTGAAATCCCTATTGTTTGCATATTCCACGATCTGAAAACAAATGAATTTGAATGAATTTATAGAGGTGCCTCGTTGAACCAATTAAATTAAAAAATAAATCAGTAAAATGTCATACTTTCTTGAGTTCGTATGTTCCCCTTTTTACATAATGGGAATTCGGTATCACTTGCATTAACTCGTCAATAAATGCAGGTCCCCTCTGGATATACATTGCAGAGAGTGTATTGTTATTGCAATGTTGTAGGAAGTATATAAAAACATGAAATCAGCAGAATAAGATATGGAGCAGAATAAGAATAGAAAATAAATACCCCTGAATTGAAGCGGCATGTCGTAATCAGGATTTTCGGGGTTATGTGCTGCTTTAGAACTGCATTGAATTCATCCGCATCATTTCCTGCAAACAGCTGCAGACATCAAAAGTTATTCCATAGTTCACAAATCTAGAAACTGCGCTGAGTTGAAATAGTGGTCTAAGTAAATCATTGAGCGCAACACCAAAATTTGAATACAGAACTTTAGACTGAGTAAAATTGATACAGTGATCTAAATGAGCATTCATCCGCAAAGACATAATAGACTAATAGAGGTTCCTAAAATTGACACAGCGATCCAAATGAGCATTCATTCTCAAAGACATAATAAACTAATAGAGGTTCCTAATAGTTTCCAAAAGAGAGTGTTACTGCCCCCCCCCCCAAAAAAAAAAAAAAAAGTTGAACAGTGGACACAATGCACAAGAAAAGCTTAGAGAGCAGCTAACAAATTACCAGCAACAAGAGAAAGATGAAAAAGTGCAGTCAGGTGCATAAGATGGTGATGCAAAACCAAACTAGACTGGAACATCAAGCAAAGCAAGTCTTAGTTGTGCTACTATATAGATGATCTCAGTGTCACTCATGCTTTGCAATTTCATTTCAGCTGTGACTTTTTATTCTGTAGACATTGTCACTATTAATTTGACATTCATAGTTTTTTCTAGAGTACATATGGGCATTAGTAACCTAAATATCGGATCCCCACAAGTACTGTGTTTGTTAGTTCTGCACTAAATTAAGCATATCAGTCGGTATTTACGCAGACTTATAATGTTATATAAGCGTCATCAAGAATGATAGTCCACTACATACGAACCTCCTGGTCGTCGGGCCGGCACACAGTCTCATCGGGCTCCCGGGTATTCTCGATCGTCCGGGGCACCTGCCTCTCCGGCGGCTGCAAACACCCAAAGCAATCAGAACCAAACCGAACCAAAAACTGCAAGCTCAACAGGTGGCGTGGGCAGTTCGAAGAGCGCTCGCTTGCCTGCTCCCCGAGCTCTTCGGCGCGGCGGGCGGACTGGCCGCGCTCGCGGGCAAGCGCGCGCTTCTGGGCCTTCTTCTCCCGCTTGAGCTTGGCGTGCACCTCGCGGCGCTTGTCCTTGTTCTTGATCTGCGACGGCAGTATCGCCTCCGCCTTCTCCTTCCTGGCCTTCTTGCCCTTCCGCTCGCTCCTCCCCTCGCGCTTGTCGCCCGGGGGCGGCGACGCGTCGGTGGGAGGCTGCTTCCGCTTCTTCTCCTTCGCCATCGCCGGCGGGAGGTTGCTGCGGTTGGCGCGGCGAGGGTTTAAGCGGCGGCGGCGGCGACGGCTAGGGTTAAGGGATAGCAAGCGGGAGCGAGAGCGCTGTGAGCGGCGTGGCGCGTTGGTGGCGGCGACACGCTCGACTCGGGGACGTGGGGAAGGGAACAGACACCTGGGCCTTAGAAGATCACGGCCTCACGAGGGTTGCGTTTTGGGCTTAGACTGTGAGAATGGGCTGCCAGTTATGGGCTTGTATTCTGTGCTGGTAATAGGAAGGTGGAATTACAATATACTCCCTCTTCAATTTCAAAACTTAAACTCTATTTAGTCGAACTATGCTTACCTTTAAGCATTGACATCATTCGACCTTCGGTAGGACTAACACTTACATGTCCTCATTAACATGGTTAGTCCCTAAATTGCTTTGTTATTAGCTCACCAAAACTTGCATAGGGGCCCAAATGCACCTAAAACCTCCCTCTTTCTTGTGATTGATGACAACTCAATTTAGACTTACAAAAGATAGAAAAAATTGAAGCTTTTGAACCCAACTTTTATAAAGACCTCCCCTTATGTATACATTTTGAATTGGATTCAACCATTGATATTGCAATGCATACATCATACTTTGTGAAGCTTCGCCTATATTTTGGAATTCATGGGGTGCCAAAACATGTGTGTGTGTGTGTGTGTGAGCATAAAAAAGATGTGATGCATATGACATGATATATCACAAAACATTGGTAAAAGAATTTGACCATGTGACCAAGCATATAGGGATATGCATGCACACGGTCAAAAAAAAACCAGCAAGCATCACATAAATATCTCACAAACATTATCAGACAAGCTAACTTAAGATAGATAAGCATTTACACTTAAGGTTCAACCTGCAACCCTTACATCCATCACATGTTTTTCATGTCCATCAGGTGCCACCACACCACGAGATTAAGTTCAAATATTACAAGTCCACGACGAGATACATACAGCATTAAGCGATAAGCAACTATACAAAAGTGAGAAGAAGCATAACAATCCCCTTTGGCATCAAGCGCCAAAAAGGTAGGAAGATCTACTCCTCGCTGTTGTAGTCAATGCCACCATTACCATCATCTTCGTAGTCAACCTCCGACTCCTCGAACGGGTCAGGGAAATGTCACGCCCCGACCGAGATGGATAGGTTGAGGCGGTGGGTCACGATGGCGCCACCTCGAAAGGTTGAAAAGACGGAGAGGATTGAACTAGGTTTTTCTTATTCGCAGTCCTCCCAACCACCTCAGCCCGTGAGTTTAGTCTTACAATAAAAGCGGGCGAGCCTAGACAATACATCCAGCGGCTCAGAGTTCGTAGATCCTTCAAAGTGCGCCCAATCCACTTGAGCAACCGGAGGGTCGTGACATCTCCCCCTCCTTACTAGCTGCACGGCGGAACAGGGAGATGGTACATCCGTAGCCCAATGTATTGACCAGGATTCACGCTGCAACAAAGCAACGGTACCATGACCCACAGATGAAGTCGCGATCTAGTACAGGATGGTGGAAGACCTTCCAACATGTAGAGAAGTTGAAGCTCATCATCGAGAAGCAGGCCGGTGTTCGGAGGTAAAGCCTTCTTGAGCTATGAGACATGCAAATGAATTTGACTATTGGCAGTCTTGTATGCTACTTTACCAGCTTTGGAGCACCGAGATATTTCATACTTGTACAGAGCTTTTGGTTGGTACTTTTGTATATGTATTGCGACTTGACATAGACCCAATCACCCACATCAAAAGTTCTTTCTTGGCGATGCTTATCTGCCTGATGTTGCATGTGCTTCTGTGCCCGAGCTAGATTCATTGGATGTCCATAGTATTTTTTCGGATCCACCATCCAGTCGAATTTGTTGCAAGTGTCGCAGTGGTTGTGATGTTCGCTAAGTGTTTAGTTGGATGACCATACAAGGCTTCAAAGGTGTGTCCATGTCGGAATGATAGGTCGTGTTATACCAAAACTTCATAATGGAATCCATTGTGCCCACTCAAGACAGAATGCACCATCCGGAGATAGGTTTCAAGGCATTGATTCAATCGCTTCGGTTTGGTCGTCGGGTTTGTGGATGGTAAGCCGAACTCATATTAAGTGTTGTTTCGATCGAATAATTCTTGCCAAAGGCACTAGTGAAGATTTTATCTCTATCGGAGATGGTGATGGAAGGCAAGCCATGCGTTTGTACACATGGGCCAAGAAGGCTTGGGCTCACTAAAAGCGATATACTAAACAAATAAAGTGTGCATATTTTGTGAGTTTGTCAATGACAATAAGGATAGTGTCAAAACTTTTGGATTTAGGCAAGCCCTCAATGAAATCCAGACTAATGGTGTGCCAAGCATGGGTAGGAACAGGCAGTGGTTGCAATAAACCAGGTAATTTACAGTGTTCAGGTTTAGCTTGGGCACATACCTCACAAGCATTAATGTAATATGTGATAGACTGCTTCATATGTGGCTAGGCAAATAGTGATTTTACCTTGTGATATGTGGCTGTAATGCCACTGTGTCCTCCCAAGCCACTAGAGTGAAGAGCCAATAAAACAGCTTGTTGTGCTTCCTTATGGTTCCCCAACCAGATTCTGTTTTTGTATTTGATCACACCATCACTAAGAGTAAAGCCTTTGTCATTGGATCTAGTGATACTGAGCTCAGTGAGTAACTGTTTGGTTTGGTCATCTTGCTGATACCCCTCCAAAATGATCTCCAACCACTTGGAGTGCTTGCAGTGATAGCAGTCAAAGAGACAGGCTCAGCTTGTCTGGAAAGAGCATCTGCAGCTTTGTTTTCCAAACCCTTATTATAAAGAATTTTGTACTGCAAGCCCAACAGCTTGATGAAGGCTTTTTGTTGCATACCCTCATGTAGCTTCTACTCTCCTAGGTGAATGAGGCTCCTATGATCAGTGACAATGGTAAATTCCTTGTGCTGGAGGTAAGGCTTCCACTTGGTGATGGCCAAAATGAGTGCCATGCACTCCTTCTCATATGTTGAGAGTGCTTGAGCTTTGGGGCCAAGGGCCTTGCTGAGGTAAGCCACTAGGTGTGTCTCTTGAGATAACACTGCACCTATGCTAGTGGATGAAGCATCGGTCTCAACTGTGAAGGCCTTGGTGAAATTTGGTAATGCTAGCACAGGTGCTGAAATGAGAGCTTGTTTCAAGGTGTCAAAACATGTTTGCAGTTGTGGTGTCCAATAAAATAGAACATCCTTTTTCAATAGGTCAGTAAGAGGTCGACTTAGGATGCCATAATTCTTTATGAACTTCCTATAATAACCAGATAGACCGAGAAATCCTCTCAATTGCCTAGTGTCTGATGGTTGGGGCCAATTAGCCACAGCCTCAATCTTCTTAGGATCTGTAGCCACACCCTGCCCACTAATGATATGACCCAAATATTCTAACTGTTGCTGAGCAAAAGAACATTTAGACCTCTTAAGCAAGAGCTGATGATCATTTAGAATGTTGAAGACTTGCTGCAGATGATCCAGGTGAGCCTCCAATGTTGGACTATAAATAAGTATGTCATCAACAAAGACCAGGACACATTTCCTCAATAGTGGCTGGAAGATATTGTTCATCAAGGCTTGAAAGGTAGCTAGGGCATTTGTGAGTCCAAACGGTATTACTCGAAATTCCCAATGCACACTGTGAGTACGAAAGGCTGTTTTGGCCTCATCCTCAGGGGCCAACTTAATTTGATGATAGCCTGATCTCATATCTAACTTGGTGAACCAAGCTGCTCTATTCAACTCGTCCAAAAGTTCATCAACCACTGGTAATGGATACTTGTTTTTGATAGTGATGTTGTTGAGTTGCCGATAATCAACACAAAAACGCCAACTGCCATCTTTCTTTTTAACCAAGATCACTAGGGAAGCAAAAGGATTGTGGCTGGGCCTAATGATGCCATTGGAGAGCATTTCTTTGATCTGACGCTCAATCTCATCTTTTTGTGTCGGCGAGTATCTGTATGGCTTGACATTTACAGGTTTGACGCCAGGGATCAGAGGAATTTGATGATCAAACTCCCTAGAGGGCGGCAAGGAATCTAGATCCTTGAAAAGGTGAGCCTGACTGTCAACTAACTGTTGTACTGGCACCAGAATAGTGTCTGGAGGCAAAGGTGGTGTTACTTGACACAAATGAATCATCTGAGCTATACCACCTTTCCTGATAAGGCCCTGTAATTTCCTAACTTTGACTTTGGGACAACTGGATAAGGTGTCTTTAATGCCCTTAAGGTGATTCTGGCCTCGATAAGAGAACGAACAACTTCCTTTTCCATTGTATCCACATGGGGAATTTGTGTTGTTCCAACCAGGTCCATGCCTAACACCATGTCATAGTACTACAAGGCAACACACGAGCATCGGGTTGTGAATGTGTGCCCTGAGACCACCATGAAGTTGAGGACCCGATGGTTGCTCAAGTTTATCACCATTGGCCATACATGCTACTTGAATGGGAGGAGCAGCCCTCGAGACACAGCTTGAGGGCGTTTGCTTTTGGAGCTAATGAATGTGCAGTCTTGCCCAATCAATGAGGATGAGTAGTTGTTGATCTTTGACGATGCCATGGAGCTTGATTGTTTTCTTGCCTAAAACACCAAGCTGCTGTGGGGAGAGACAGAGGAACACCGCTTCCTTTCATCACTAGAATCTATGCAGTTCGACATTCATCTTCCATGAACTCTTCCAAGACATGCAAGGCTACTTTATCTGGACACTTATGGTTTATTTCTCGCCACACTTCATACATGACCTTATGATCGTTGAGCTACGTATGTTGCTAGCTTGTCTTCCCACTTTGGCTTTGTGTCGGTAATTTGGTGGTGCTCCCAACACCGGAGTTGCAATGGCGTGGTTGCCGGGATACTTGTTGTACTCGTGATAATTGCACAAAATGCTTTGGTTGAGATTCCAACACATCCCCTCCATAAGAGCCAATGACAAGGCCACATTAATGTTCTCGGCTTATAAAACAATAGCTATCCTTGTCGATCCATCAAGCCTTGAAGAAATTCTTGTTCCCACATCATCTAAATGGTTGTTATGACATTTATGCATGACAGTTTGAAATCTTTCATAATAATCTTGAACATCAGATATTTGCTTAATGCTTAGTAATTCTTGCATGGAGTTATGATAGAGGTCTTTCCCAAATTTAGATTCAATAGCAATGCAAAGATCCACCCAGTTATCCACCCCATGCTTTGAGCCTCATAGGTTTATATACCATAACCATGCCCTTTGAAATGTAAGCCATCATCGAGCCTAGCGATGGACCGGAACATTGAACATATCAAAGTATTTTTCTGCTTTTTCTTTCCAGACTTTGGGATGAGACCCATCAAATTTGGGAAACTGAGCCTTAGGTAAACGAGATTCAGGGTGTGTAGACGTAGTAGGATAATGAACTGAGGAGGTGGAGAGGGATAACTGACCATTGGCCAGAGGATGAGTGAGGATCAGAGTCCCCCCTTCATTCCCCTAGGGTGATGTGGCGACGTCGTGGCCCATGGCCCACCCCTCTTCCTCGCACTTTGGGGCCGATGACTGGCGCGCGTTGTTCGCCTCACGCTGCTGATGTGAGAGTCCGGATCTCCTTGGTTAACTTCGTTGGAGAAGTTATCAACCTAACGATTGAAAGTCTCCATGAGTAGGAGCATGGACTTCATCCAAGCAGGAGAGAGAGTCGAGCTTTTCCTCGGTAGATGCGGGAGGTGAGGGTTGGAAGGTTTGGGTTTATATCAGCAAGGTGACCAGAATGGAGGTGGTGGCGGATCGATTAGGGATTGATCGAAGATGAGATGGGGAAGTGATTGTAGTGGCGGAAAACCGCTATCATCCGATGTATGACCGCAACAACTCTGGATCCAACCGTCGTGGCCGGATTTTACTGGATCCGATGATCGGTGGCGGATCGGAAGGCTCGATCCAAATGTCATGGATAGGTTGTCAGAGGCACAGCGATAGTGCCGCTTCTCGGCGAAATGTAAAGACGGAGAGGATTTGGAACTAGGTTTTTCTTATTCGCCGCAACCACCCACTAGTATGAGTTCGCTTTAAAATGGGCCGAGCCAACAATACATCCACCATTAGCTTACGAAATTTCATTGTGAATCTTTCTGGAGGCTTGATCGTGATGACAGAAAGTAGGAAGGTGAGGCGATGGGTCTGATGCCAAGTTGAGGTGAGTCTTCAACTCATGCAGGTCGCATCTCAGCCCGTGAGATTGCTCAGCGTTGTAGTGGCAGAGTTCGTAGATCCTGGTAAGCACACGCTTGAGCTTGGGGTCGAGATTCACTAGCTGCATGGCGGAACGGGAACGAGTGAGCTGAGAACAGGAACCACCAACTGTAGCAGGCTGAGAAGAGGAACGAGTGTGCTTATATATAACATAAATGATCTCACTGTCACTCTTAAGCTTTGCAATTTCATGTCAGCTGTGGCTTTTTATTCTATATAAACAATGTCACTACTTTCATAGTTTCTACAAGTGGCATCAGTAACCAACTGTCGGATCCGCACCAAGTAGTGTATTTGTTGCAATGCTTTTGCAGGTCTTCGCTAAATTAAACATATCAATCGACATTTATGCAGACTTAAAATGTAAAATGTTATTATAGTATTAAGCATGTTGTCCACTCAATACGAACCTCCTCCTCGTCAGACCAGCGCAAAGTCTCATCGCCCCCGGGTGTTCTCGATCGTCTAGGGCACCTGCCTGGGTTAAGGGATAGCGGCGGGGTGCGTTGGCGGCGGCGACTCATTCGACCCGCCGACGGGAGAAGAGAACGGCCTCACGAGAATTGCCCTCTAGGCTTAGACTGTGAGTATGGGCTGCCAGTTCTGGGCTTGTATTCTGTGCTGGTAATTGGAAGGTGTGGGCTCCTTTGCCTTTTTTTCAGTCCACGGGTGATATTTGATTTTTTTTTCTATTACAATATTTTGTGAGAGTTTAATTTGTGCAAGTAATCTTATAGAAAAAAATGAATGACACTTCCATCAAATGCTTAAATGTTTGGATTAATGGATTTTCTCATGAAAAACTATAACGGCTTATGCAGAGATGCAGAAATTAGGAATTGGCGAACTTTTGTAGAAAAGAATAGATAAATTCAGTGTTTCTTTAAAATCTTTTTAAAACAAACAAATAAAAAATGGAGTAATAAAAATACAAAGATATTGCTGAACTGGACCCGGCAACACTATCCCCTTCGCCGGCGCCGCTCCCGCTCCGTCCCACTCCCACCCGCTCTCCTCCGATCGATCGAAGCTTGCCGCCTTCCGGTCCGGCGCGATGTTCCCGTGCCGCCCCCTGGCTCCGCCGGCCCCGCCGCGTGCTCCTTCCCTCGCGCGGCTTCCGCCGTCGTCACTGCGGCCGCCGCCGTCGTCGCTGCGCGTGGTGCGGTGCATGGCGAAGGAGCGGCGGGTGCGGATGGTGGCGAAGCAGATCCAACGGGAGCTCGCCGACATGCTCACCCGCGACCCCGTCCTGCAGCGCGCCGTGCTCCCGGAGGCCGCGCTCGGCGCCGACCGCTACCTCTCGTCGCTCACCACCATCGCCGACGTCGAGCTCTCCAACGACCTCCAGGTCAGGCCACCCGCCGCTCACGCGCTCAAATGGCGGTCGGCTTTGCGCAGGTGGTGCTGAATTCCGGTGTGCGCAGGTGTGCAAGGTGTACGTGTCGGTGTTTGGGGACGAGAGGGGGAAGAAGGTGGCTATTGAGGGGCTCAAGGCCAAGACCAAGTACGTCAGGAGCCAGATAGGCAAGCGGATGAAGCTGCGCCTCACGCCGGAGATAAGGTTCATCGAGGATGAGTCTATGGAGCGTGGAAGCAGGGTAGGATACAAGTTTATCTGTTTCTATGGGATTCGAATTCAATTGTTTTTGCAAGTTGTTTACATTGAACTCGATACATGCCCTTGATACAGTATTGTTCAGTTCTGTGAATTTGTGTCCCAACAATGTCTGATTGATCTGCTCGGCACAACATATGCTAATTAACCACCCCCTCCACACACCTACATCCAAAAACACACACATGCATGAAATAAATGCCTATCCTTTATCCATCATTGGATTTGTTGTTCCCCTACAAATTGCGAGACATGGATAGGTTTGCATTTTTTTTTGAACTTCGAAGTGCAAAGAGTGTGCAATGCAGTTTTTGGTGAAAATTAGAATCAGATTTATTCTTTATGGGGATATAAGAACCATAAGGCCTGTACGAGGCAATTATATCTCAGCATAAACAATTTGATGGGCACCAGGAGGTGTATTGACACAAAAAGGTTTTTTAGTATTTCTATGTACTGGAAAAATACTGACTGAATATTTCTATCTTTATAGATCCTTGCTATACTTGACAAACTAAAGGAGGAAAGGGAGCAACAAGAAGGAAAAGATGGAGAGGAAGATGTAGAAGGTTCATATATATCAGAAGAAGAAGATGGTGACTGGGATGCAGATGAGCCAGATGAGGAGGATATCATTTACGTAAAATAGCCTATGGTCTTCTAGGAACTTGGTCATCATTCATCCAGAACACAGCAGGTGTGCTTCAACCGATTGAAGTTATGTCTTGCAAATTACTAGTATGAGGCTTTGACCAAGCACCACCATTAGCTTAGAAATTGTTGTGATGCTTTCTGCTTTCAAGTTCCTGGACTTGAACCCTGATGCTTGAAGCTCGAGCACATCCCTAAAGGGTTTGGTACTCTCCTCTCTCAAGACAAAGCCAAGGGAACATGTCCCCCCATGGTCAAGTTTTTTGTTATTCTGTCTTTGTAGATTATCTGACATCAATTCCAAGCTCTTCTAATGCATAATCATACTATTGTTTCCGGTTTCGTGGCCGCCCTCTACTGTTCACGCGTGATTAGATTGCCGCCCTACTGTAGCAGCGTGAAGGTTGGGGCTACAACAGCCATTCCTGGCAATATTTTTTAAAAAGTCACCCTTAAATTTAGCTCTGATTTGGCGCCACTGCGTTGCACTGGTTCGATATTGGCCCGCTCTCCGGAGGTTCCTCCATCCGGTGACCACTCGGCGCGCGTCGTCGGAGTTGTCGGGCGTCCGCGCTCTGCCCGGCACCCAGCGTTGGAATCGCTGCCTCGTGGATCGCCACGGTGGTCTCCATCCGCCGCATTGCATGACGCCGCCTCCGCGCCGCCGTTTCCCGCCATTACCAGCCGGCAGCGGCACGGGCAAGCCCGTCCTCCACCTTACAGCCTGTTGCAATGGCGGCCTCGCATGTCACCATTTAGGCTGCGGCCGTCCCGGCGGCGTACTTTACTCGATAGCCACGTCGACAACCCTATCACCCTCCACGACGATCGTGACAACAACCAGTTCCAACCGCCGCCTTCCGCGCCGCGCTCTCCTCTCTATGGGGGGTGGGCTGCCAAGGCGCCTTCTTCCTTACCAGAGAGGTGACGACTGCGCGCCCTTTAGGCAAGCTCCTTCTACAAATTGGAGTTTCAGGTCGAGCTCGACACCCCCGAATTGGTTGAACCGCGAGCGGTTCTTCTGCGGTCGTCGCATCCAGGCAATGGCTCGCGTCCTACCATCTTCGAGTTAGCCCGGACATTGGTACTCATACCTGGGCGGAGATGGCCACTGGCCCGCTAACGCGCCATGTTATGGTCTCCGCTCGGGCCCCCCTGTGGCTTTTAGTTATTCGCGGTATTACTCGCAACTCCATAATGCCATCCCATGCCGTCATCAAGTTATGCGCGCGGGCTGCTCGCCATCCTACGGTTCACTCCGGCTCCACCCTCAAAACCGCCATGTACTTGAGGGGCGTTCGAGGGATTATGTATCTCCCTGCCCGGCGTGGCGTGTCGTTCACGGACTCCGGCGGCCGACGCGCTGCCACTGATCCCGCCTACACGGTGCCCAATGGCGACGACGGCGTGAAACTGGTGTCAAGCAGACGGAGCCTTACGTGCGCACGCGTGCAACGCGCCCTATGGAGGTCGAGACTTCGCCATCTTGGAAACCGAGACACCTCGTCCGGTTGTTACTTGGGCGGAGATGGCGCCGCATAACGCCGGCTCCCTCATGCGCACCTTGGGCCCCATACTCCATGGGCCTTGCCCGGCCCTCAAGCCCGACAGCTTCGTTTTTGCGGGCTCCACGCCGTGTCGCGCCCGCTGGGCCTGGCGAGGGGGTGGATCCGCGGTGGCCAATGGCGCACCCTCTCCATCGCGCAATAGCGTGCTGCCTCATCTATGGCGACTTCGCCATCCATCACGTTCGGCCTCAACTTGGGCGGTTGACTTCCCATGAACCTTCATCGCGCGGGCCCCATACTATGGGCGTCCGCGGCCGCCCCGCGTCACTGGCGGAGTGGTGGGCGGTTTCACCTCTCCCCTCGGCATCATTCGTGGCATTCCACCGAACCCGCAATTCGCCCTCCTCCACCCGACCGCCGTCGTTTCACCGAACCCACGACCACCGCATCCACCGTCTCCACTTGGTACACGGGTACCATACGGTGGCGGTGCGCTCCGCTATCCCGACTCTGAAGGGCGAGTGGGCGGCGGCGATCGTGCACCATGCTCACCCAAGGGATCATCGGGCCGACCACTTCACCTTTCTCGGCGCCCGTCTTCTTTTTGATGCGCCAAAGCGGACCGATCGTGGCGCTTCGCGTTGACTACCGCGCCCTCAACGCCAAGGCGTCCAAGGACAAGTTCCGATGGGGTGGTCGATGAGCTCCATGGAGCTCGCTTTTCACAAAGTCGGACCTCGCTCGGGGTATCATCAGTGCGGATGCATCCGGCGACATCGCCAAGGCGGCGTTCGCACTCACCACGGCCACTTCGAGTTTACGGTGATGCCTTTGGGGCTTTCTAATGCCCGCCACCTTCCGAGCCACGATGAGCGATGTGCCGCGCACCTACCTCCGGCGGTTTGTGCTCGTTTTCTTGATGATATCCTCATCTACGACTCGTCGTGGTCCGAACATCGCAACACATCAACATATCGTCCTCGGCGCCTGGGCGCGCACCATCTATACTTGAAGCGCTCCAGTGCTGCGTTGGGGCGCCATCCGTGACCTATCTTGGCCATGTCATCGCCAGGGGCGGTGTCGCCATGGACGCAAACAAAGGTCGACGCGGTGGCGGCGTGGCCTCTACCTCGCTTTCGGCGGGGCCTTGGCGGCTTCTTGGGCTTGGCGGGATACTACGGAAGTTCATCGCGACTTCGGCATCATCACGGCCCGCTCCACGCGACTCTTGCGGCGAGGCAGCGTTAAGTGTGGGGCGACGACGCGTCGGCAGCTTTTCGAGGCGCTCAAAGCGGCGCCTTGGCGAGCGGGGCCCGTGCTTCGATGCGGATTCGGCGCTACTTTCATGGTCGATTGCGATGCATCCGGGTGCGGGGTTGGCGCCGTCCTCCACCCGGTAGCGGGACCCCTCGCCTACTTCAGAGAGCCATTTGCGGCTTCGCCACCTCAAGCTCGCCGCCTCTGACGCGAGCTCGCCGGGCTTGGTGCAAGCATGCGCCCCATCGGCGCCAGATTTGTTTGGGCGCCCTTCACGGTTCGCCTTGACCACTACGGTCTCAAATTTTGCTTGATCGGCGTTTGTCTACCGTTCCAAAGCACCAATGGATCGACAAACTTTTAAACCGACTTCACCGTGGAGTACCGCCCGGAACCGCCTCAACACCGTGGCGGGCCTTCTGTCACCTTGCCAGCAACGAGGCGGCGGTGGCGCTGTCTCTGCGTCGCCGGGCGCCCTCGAAGCGTGATGGTATCCCGAGACGCCGTTTGACCTCGGCGCCATCGAGCGCGCTTACGACCACGGCCGGATGGCGGTATTCGCCGCTGCAGCAGCTCGGTAGGGGGCTCGTGGAGCCGTGGCGCTGGACGGCCGACCTCCTCTCCACGGGTCTCGTATCTTACGTCTTGGGATCACGGGGACCTCCGCCACGAGTCCTCCTGCTGGCCCATGCCGCCGCCATGAGGGACCTGAAGACGCCGCACCGCCTCCGTGCCGAGTTCTACATTCCGCGGGGCGAGAGCAGCGGTGCGCGACTTGGTGCGTTCTGCGCACGTGCAAGCCATAACAACAAGGCGGGCGTTGCGGCCGGCGGGGACTCGCTTGCGCGACCCCTCGGCGTGCCCTCCCAAGTTTGGCGGACATCTCGATCGACTTCATCGAGGGCTGCCCAAAAGTCGCCGTCAAGTCGGTTATCCTCACCGTCGTCGACCGTTTCTCTAAACGCGCACTTCATCGCCAGCTTCGGGCACCCTACCGCGCGTCGGTCGCCCGTGCTTTCTTCGGCGGCATTATGCGGCTCCACGGGTTCCCGCTCTCCATCGTCGCGGCCGGGACCCGTGTTCACCGGCCCACGTGTGGCGGGACCTTTCGAGATGGCGGGCGTCAAGCTCGCGCAGCACCGCCTTCCACCCTCGAAGACGGGCGGCGGTCGGAGGTGGTCAACAAGGTGATTGCCATGTATTTGCGCTGTTGTATTACGGTGGCCGGCCTCGGCGTGGGTGGGCCGGGCGTCGTGGCGGATTATTGCTACAATACTTCTTTCCATACCGCCCTCCACGCCACGCCTTTCGAGGTCGTCTCTGATCGACCACCGCCGCCCATATTGCCGTACCGGTAAGAACGGCGGCTCGTCTGCGAAACCGCCGACGCCATACTCGCGGCCGCGACGAGATGCTCGGCGAGGTCCGTCGGCGGCTCCTTCAAGCCAAAGCTGACTCTCCAAACGCTACTACGACGCCAACCACGGGATGTGGAGTTCGAGGTGGGCTCGTGGGTGCAGGCTGCGTCTCCTTCACCGCGCCCACGCAGCGGTCCCTCGACCCTCGCTCCAAGCGCAAGTTGGGGCCGCTACTGGCGAAACCGTTCGCGTCTTTGGGCGCGTCGGTCGCGTCGCCTACCGCCTCCAAATTGCCCGATGACACCCGCATCCACGATGTTTTTCATGTGGGCCTCTGAAAAAGACACCATGGCGATCCCCCCTACCGCCGCGGTGTCTTGCCACCGGCTTTGGATGGCGAGCCTGCCAGTCCGAGCAGCGCCTGCTAAGCTCAAGCAGCGCCGGGTGTTTGGAAGATCTTGATCAAGTGGCGCGTGATGCAGTCGGCCAGATGATGCAACGTGGGAGTCACTCGAGGAGTTCCGCGCCGAGCACCCCGATTTCCAGCTCGAGGACGAGCTGTTTTTGCAGGCGGGGAGAGATGTTATGACCGGCATCCCCTACAGCCGTCGCAGCCCAGCTAAGGGCTAGGAGGGAAGCCGGCCATCAGAGGGCTATGGCCCATATAATTGTCGCAATTATAGTATTGGTAGAGGGTTATTTTATAATTATCGCTATTAGAGAGACATATAAATATTTGTAAGACTCTATTTGTGAGATTAAGCAGAAACATATTATTGTTTCCGGCTTCCTCAGGGAGCCGGGAGAAACCCTAGCCGCCTCTACTGTTCACGCGTGAACAGTGCCGCCGCTACTGTAGCCGCGTGAAGGTTAGG